CTGGAAGTGCCTAGTTTAAAGTCCTCCTCAACAAGTCAGCGATTCTTGTAGTGAAGAGCTTCTTCCCTCTGGTTGTGAGTTTAATACTTCCCCTAGCATGTAGACTGCTGAAATTAAACTGCGAATGAAGGTTGAAGTATCCAAAGCCCACACAGTGACACCATCTCCTAAGCCTGTGGTTGACCTCCACAATGCAGTCCTCCCTCCAATGACCACAACCTCTGACTGGGAGGATTGAGGAGAATACCACTTGTGCTCCTAGTTCCCTGAGTTTTGCTTCCAGGGTCTTGTAGTCTCTCATGATTCTCACGGGACTACTTCTTACTGTGTCACTGGTGCCCACGTGGACAAGGAGCAAAGGGTAGAGGTCAGTAAGACAGACCAGTTTAGGGATCCTTGTTATAACGTCTCTAATCCTGGCTTCTGGAAGGCAGCAGCGTTCTTGAGCAAAGGGGTCTGGATGACAGATGGCTCCTTTTGTGTCCTGTAGCAGGGAGTCTCCTATGACGATCACCCTTAGTTGTTTCCTTGCTGGGATCAGCTGATTTGCGGCGGGCTCAGCTGAGATGTGGCTGGGATTGGCTAAGTGCAGCGGGCTCAGATGCAACTTCTGTCGATAGTGTGAGGGCTTCATAGTTGCTGTACAGGGTTACTGGCGAAGCAACTGATGCACATCTTGGCTTCAGGCTTGATGCGACCAATTCCCACCCACTATCGGCTGGGGTATCTTGTTTGAGCCTGCACATCTGTCTCCATGGCTTCCTTCTCCAGGTGCAGGGCCTGGCAGTAAGTGTCAATCTCTGCCTCATATTCCCTGATGATTCACAGCCTGTTCATCTCCTCCTGGAGCTCCCTCACCTGGCCCTACAAGGTCTCCATCAGTTTGGGGAACCTCGTCGCAACATCTCGAATCCTGGCTTCTGGAAGGCAGCAACTCAGAAGTGAAAATGCTTGCCAACAGCCCTTTCACACTCCCTTCCATGCAAACTCCCACACTAAGTTGCACACCGGGCCCAGAGCACACCTGTTTGAGCGCCCTGTTCATACAGCTCCCTGGGGAGCTAGGCTAAGTAGGAGTCGGGGGCGGGGGGAGAGGGGGTGACTTTGCTCGGCTCTGCTCACTGCCACATGCCCTATCTAGTTACTCACCCACCGCGGGCCCCATTTACCTCTTGGCTCCATGCTGTGGGTCTGGGTCGGGTTCCTAGGCTCAAGGGGCCGCGACAGGCTTGCACTCATATGTCATGCACTGGAGCCAGGCTCAACTGAGGCTTTTGCCATTGGTGGGCCCTTTTTCAAAACCACGGATTCTGACATCACGCGGTTTGATATCTCAGTCCCATGCATGGAATTAGGCTCACTTCTGACAAGGCAGATAGTGGAAGGTTATCAGTAGGGCTCTACCAAATTCATGGAGGAAGTAGGCTGCATTGTGGCTCCTTTAATCTTGCAGGTTCGCCCATGCACACCCCGCTCCCCCCTCCTCTTGTTGCCGATTGGCTGAGGGACTCCAAGGGCCCTGCTGCTTGTTGCTAACTGCCCAGGAAGCAAAAACAGTGCCAAATTTAAAACCGCGGTTTTCACCTCCCTGTTGATCAGGAGCAAGTGGAGGGGCCCCTTCACCAATCAGTGGGGTGGCGGGGGGTGGGGAGGCACGTGGGGGAAGCTGCAAGGTTAAAGGAGCTATGCACAGCCCATTTCCGCTGTGAAATCAGTTAGGCCCTAGTTGTTAGGGGTGTGTGAAGCGGGCCCTATTCGATTCAGATTCGGCCCGAATCAGGGACAGTGATTCGATTTGTTGATTCGGATCACTGTCCTCAATTCAATTCGGCCAAATCCGAACGTGAAGATTCGATGCCAATTCAGAGAATCGGTGATTTGGACACAGACACAGCTTTAAATGTTTTTTCTGCATACCTCGAGGTACTAGTGCATCTTGTGAATGCTGCAATGCTGGGGCGCATGGAGTTTCCCACAGGAGTGCAGGGGGCCCCTCCATGTGGTCGGTGGTGAACACAGAAGCAGACTGGAAATACTTTTGGCCCACTTCCAGGTCTGCTGGGGAGTGCACTGGGGGCCCCCCTGCGCCCCCCTGGCTCAGTGTTTGGCTGAGGGGGGACCCCGGGTGCCCCCCCAGACCCAGGAGGCACTAGTTGCTGAGCCAGAGGGGTGGGGGGAGCCCCCCAGTGTGCTCTCCAGCGGCGCTCTCCAGCGGACCCAGCATCAGACTGGAAGTGCTTCTGGTCCACTTCTGGGTCTGCTGCTGAGCACACTGGGGAGCCCCCCGCGCTTCTGTGGGACACTCCATGCACCCCAGCATTGCAGCATTCACGAGCCACCTGCTACTTAGAGGTATGTAGAAAAAACATTTAAAGCTGTGTCTATGTCCAAATCTTTCCAAATCTCTCTGAATTGATTCGGAGGATTCCGATTCAATTCGGAGAGATTAGAGGGTCCTCTGATTCAATCTGAATTCAGGAATTCAGCCACTGAATTGGGCCAAATCTCTGCTGAAGTGAATCAGGGACCAAAGCTTCACACAGCCCTACTAGTTATCAGATTCATAGAAGGTTTCTATGAAATTAGTAGGAACTCTGGATTTGTTAAAACATGGAAAGTGAGTACAGTCCTAATTGGGCTTTGTCAGGTGCTGTGATTACCAAGAAGGATTTGTATAATATTCAGTACAAGCACAAGTAGATAAAACGCATTGCATCTTGTCAGAATCAAACTTCATCTCCCTGTTGGAACTTTAGTCTTTTGACTTCATATTTAGTTAGCATTTATAGTAACAGTGGTCTGTATAGATAGCGAAATGGTAGAAAACAAGTGTTATTTTCAGCCCAGAATCTGAAGGACAGCATTTCTTGTTGGATGAGCTTTAGTTAAAGCACCCCCACTGTCATTTTTCAGTGCAGGGACGCTGAAACACATGACGCTGGAGCATGGTTATTACCACGCTCTGGCAGCCTCGATTAATCGAGTTTGCTCTGACGCACTGTAATTACAGTGTATTGGAGCAGCCTTGCTACACATGTATAGGTGCCCCATATGACTGCTCTTGTAAGGGTAAGATTACTGGTAAACTGTTCAGCTGACCACACTGAAAGAGATGGAGACAAACTGAGTAGTGAACCCCATTATCAAGCTCCCCCTGCTCTCCCTGTAGAGCTGAATATTACTTACCAACCCCTGTACCACAGCAAGCTGAAAGAGCATAGGAAAAGGCCTCAGCCATGTTTGGAAAATACACAGGAAGTCAAAGATTAAGTCAAAGATAAGATTATGGAAGTTTCTTTTTACAGTCTTAATATACTCATTCAACACTCATATATCTTTGTTTTCTATAGGCAGTAGGTCTGACCAAGATTCAACTCCAAACTCATGGACAGCATCTGTACTTAGAGGAAGTTTATGAATATACTTGGGTGAGACTACTGCAATAAAAGGGAACAGTTTTTTAGTTACAAAATACCAGTGTATGAATTAGTGTGACTGTGCAACAACTGGAGTTATTGTGCAGTAGCATCACTGAATGACTTTTTCGTGACTGACTGCATAGTAGCTCATGACTACTGCGCAATCAGCATCTCATGTACATGCAGCCTATGTTAAGGGATTACCTCTTAAGAGCTTGTTGGTATTGCTTAAAATAAGTATTGAGATTACATTATTTTACAAACAAGATTGTAAGCTACAAATACATGAGTCATATCTGGACTGTTTTCACAAACTAATACAACTTAAATGTAGATGCATTTTTTTGTTAAGGAAAAGGTGCACATTATCCAAAATATGCACATCAAATACCGTATAGACCTGTCCCTTGAGAATTAGGAATCTGGCAACTGACACTAAGATTTAAAAACTTCAACTCTGTCTTCTCATGAAGTAGCACTAATGCAGTTTGGAGGAAAAGAGGAAAATCATTAAGAGTAATTCTAGTGTACCTCCTGAAGTCCAGTTCAGCTTAACAACCATCACAACAATTCCACCCAAAATCAAGAGTGAAGGAGAGCTACTTAGTTTTCTGTGGAACCCTGACCTATAAAATGGGGACAGGAACTGAGCGAGGATGAAGGAAAAAGAGAATACAGCAAAAAACATTTTGCATAACTCAGTTTTGCCACATTGAGAAAGTTACAATTTTTAAAAAACTTTTAATGTCAGTTTTAACTTTCTAAATGGAATGTTTGAAACATGTTTCAGAATTTCTCTTTTAATTTTTTTCATATCATAGAATCATAGAAAATTAGGGTTGGAAAGGGACCTCAGGAGGTCATCTAGTCCAACTCCCTGCTCAAAGCAGGACCATCCTCAAATAGATCATCTCAGACAAACTGGATCATCCCAGCTAAGAAAAAAAATGAAAGAAACCTTGAAATAAAACATTCCTTCAAAATGAAGTATGTGCATGTCAAGAGATTCAACTGATTTTGGGGGCAGGATAGAAAATTCTCTCCATTTCTCCCCACCCTCATTTTCATTCTAAAGTGGAACCAACTTTCTCTAAATTGCCAAACCTAAAAATTCATCTTTTACCCAGCCCTAATCAAGGAGCAGTCTGGATGAGTACTAGGAAAAGTGTTGAAGTTATACTCAACTACAGCCAGGTTTAGGAATTCATTGCCTGCTGATCTGACGTTAGAATGCCCACTCTATAGTCTTCCTCTCAGAGCATGTTTCCTACAAACTGAAAACATTTTTTTATGCACAAAGACACAGTTAGACATTTTCCTGCCTCCTCCACTTTAAAGCACTTCCTTTATTATGTTAGGTTCCTTGTGCAGAATCTTCATGTATAGAAAATAAACTATGTTCATAACTAGTTTGCATATCCTGGCTATCAGTGTGTATAGACATGCATATGTAGAAATCAACTGACCAAACAGAAAACAAAACAAACAAACAAAAATACCCTGTCCAACTAGACATAAGACTTTCAGGGAGCTAGATATGGGGCATGAAAAATGTCTGATTTGACAGTTTGTCTCCAATACCTTTACTTTTGGTTCCACAGAAGGCAGGCGGAGGTGAGCAAACATTCGGCAGCACATTTCTTTCTCTTTATCCATGTATTCTCTGTAAGAGCTGCAAAGTAAAGCAGGTGTTTCCATTACAGGATGCCTACTTCTATGCTTGCAGTTAATACCAATATTATAAGCCCAATGTTTTGAAGCCACAAAACTAAAGCAATACGCAATACTGAAGTTACTCACTAAGGGTGTGTACAGAAGTGGCTTTTTTGCCATTTAAAGCACTTTATTGCCATAACTTAACTGAGGCGCATGCCTTTACAGCACTTAAAAAATGGGTACAGCACTTTAAACTAACCCTTGTTAAATGAAGTATTCAATTTGAAGCACTGTATTCTGTATGCTGGTCAAATTTCTGACCAATGCAGAAGCCCCAGGAGGCTTCAGAGTGCACCTTACCTCCTAGCCAGGAAAGTGCAAGGAGGCTCAGAATCCCTTTCCCCTGCTTCTCGCCCCCCCTCCCCAACCAAACACTGCACTTCTGTCATGTTTAAGAGTGCTGTAATTTTATAGTGTTATAAAAAGTGCTCTAAAACACTGTAAAACATGCATGGAACACTTCTGTATACATCCTAAATTCCAGAAACAAAGAAGAATTTTATAATAACCAAATTTACTTGAGTTAAGTTTTATAAAGGTAGGTACAGCAGGAAGAGCACATATTACTGATGGTTCAGAAAATTCTTTAATATTTTACCTTTGGAGAACAAAGTAGATCACAGGTGAAAACAAGGGACCATCTGGCCCCCAGAGAGCACTTGTTACAAGTCACTATTTTACCCAACAAAGGGAGCAGTCCAAAGATTACACTACGATTTGGAGGACAAGAAAGTCATTAAAAATGTAAAACATGACGAACAGATCCAAGGAGGTGATACTCCCCCTCTATCGGGCGCTGGTCAGACCACAGTTGGAATACTGCGTTCAATTTTGGGCGCCACACTTCAAGAGAGATATGGATAACTTAGAGAGGGTCCAGAGAAGGGCCACTCGTATGGTTAAGGGCTTGCAGGCCAAGCCCTATGAGGAAAGACTGGGGCACCTGGACCTCTTCAGCCTCCACAAGAGAAGGTTGAGAGGCGACCTTGTGGCTGTCTATAAGTTCATCATGGGGGCACAGAAGGGAATTGGTGAGGTTTTAATTACCAAGGCGCCCCTGGGGGTTACAAGAAATAATGGCCACAAGCTAGCAGAGAGCAGATTTAGACTAGACATTAGGAAGAACTTCTTCACAGTTCGAGTGGCCAAGGTCTGGAACGGGCTCCCAAGGGAGGTGGTGCTCTCCCCTACCCTGGGGGTCTTCAAGAGGAGGCTAGATAGGGATCTAGCTGGGGTCATCTAAACCCAGCACTCTTTCCTGCCTATGCAGGGGGTCGGACTTGATGATCTATTGAGGTCCCTTCCAACCCTAGAATCTATGAATGTTATCCAAAACAACTGACTAGATTATATTAAAATTTATAGCACACAATGGGATGGTTTAGTCAAGGATGATCCATCCTTGACCAGGAGGCTGGACTAGATGACTTTGTGGAGTCCCTTCCAGCTCTACTTTCCTATTACCCTAAGTCTTTTGAGGAGATGAGGAGGCTATCACAGCTGTCTAAAGCCATGCTCACTTATACCAACGAGTCTAGCAGGAATTCTAAAATTCTGTAGCCCTTGCAAAGGACTTGATGACTTGGTGGGATTTTGCCTTCATTATCCCCACTGGGCACATCTACATAGAATCATAGAAAATTAGAGTTGGAAGGGACTTCAGAAGGTCATCTAGTCCAACCCTTGCTCAAAGCAGGACCATCTCCAACTACATCAGCCCAGCCAAGGCTGTCTAGCTGGGTCTTAAAAGCCTCCAAGGATGGAGATTCCACAACCTCTCTGGGTAACCTGTTCCAGTGTTTCACGATCCTCCTAGTGAGTACCTTTTCCCCCAATATCTAACCTAAACTTCCCTTGCTGCAACTTCAGACCATTGCTCCTTGTTCTGTCACCTGCCACCATCGAGAAAAGTCTAGCTCCGTCCTATTTGGAACCATCCTTCAGATAGTTGAAGGCTGCTATTAAATCCCGAGTTCTCTCTTCTCTAGACTAAATAAACCCAGGTCCCTCAGGTCTCCCAAGTCATGTGCCCCAGCCCCCTAACCATTTCTGTTGCCCTCTGCTGGACTCCCTCCAGTTTGTCCACATCCTTTCTGTAGTGGAGGGGCCAAAACTGGACACAGTGCTCCAGATCTGGCCTCCCCAGTACTGAACAGAGGGGAATAATCGCTTTGTTCCTGCATTGTCAGTAAAGTTTCTTTCAAGTACAGCCAGCATTCCTGGACTTCTCTCCCCCTCAGACTGGCTTCCCAGAGGATCCTGCCTGTGAGTTCCTCAAGTGAGTCAAAATCTGCTTTTCTAAAGTCTGTGGTCCTTACTCTGCTGTTCTCCTTCATTCCTTTCCTCAGGATCCTGAACTCAATCATCTTGGTTGCTGCTGCCCAAGTTGTCATCCACTTCTACATTCCCCACTAATTCTTCCTTATTTGTGAGGTGCAGGTCAAGACAAGCATGGTCTCTAGTCGGCCGCTTCAGCACTTGCACAAGGAAGTTGTCCCCAACACTTCAAAAACTTCCAGGATTGCCTGCACGCTGCTGTATTGCCCAGCCAATTCAGGGTGATTGAAGTCCCCCATGAGAACCAAGACCTGTGATCAGGAAACTTCCACTATCTGTCTGAAGAAAGCCTCATCCACCACATCCTCCTGGTCTGGTGGTTTATAGCAGACCCCCACCATGACATCACCCTTGTTGCTCTTCGCTCTGACCTTAACCCAGAGACTTTCAACAGGCCTATCTCCTGTTTCATACTGGAGCTCTAAGCAATCGTACAGCTTTGACAAAGTGGATCCTCCTCCTCTTCTCCCCTGCCTGTCCTTCCTGAACAGTTTATACCCACCCAGGACAGTGCTCCAGCCATGTGAGCACCCACCAAGTCTGTTATTCTGATCATGTCACAGTGTTGTGACTGTGCAAGGACTTCCAATTCTTCCTGCTTGTTTCCCAGGCTCTGCATTTGTGCACAGGCACCTAAGGTAACTAGCTAATTGCCCTGATTTCTCAGGAAGAATGGGGATGCTTCCCTTGTTGCCCACTCCTGCATGAGCTTCCTCCAGATCACCCACTTTTCTACTTACCTCAGGGAGTGCCCACTCCTGCCTAATTAGCCTCACAGTAAAGTCTAAGCATCTACACATGTGGCCCTACTAGGCTGCTAGAAACTAATAAATGCCCCCATAGGTTAGGACTTGTAAACAAGTACTATCCTGCAGCTGTGTTTAGTGCACCGCAATGCAGCGTGGGGGCTGCCAACTGGCTAGCCCTGCACTGGAGCACCCTCGTGTCCCGGCCAGTCCCTTGATAGCACATTGAGCCAGGCTGACCCCCCTCAGGATCCCTGCCAGCTGGGGTTGCTCCAACCCGGCTCAGTGTGCTGTGGTCCCAGGTACACATGTAGCGCTCAGGAACAATAAATTCTGGTGCGAACTGTGCCAGAGTTTATTCAGATGAATTAACTGCATGTGCAAATGTGCCCACTGAGAATGAATTTTGGTTTTCCATTTTTAACTACACCAAAAGTTTCTTAGTGCTTTTAAAGTTTTCCATGCTGTTTTAAGCAGTGCAGTATGGTTATTAATATCATCCATAATTTATTATTTTACATAAAGGACTTTAAAAAGCAAGTAGGATTCCTTATGAGCTACATATCAGGTGGCTTTAAAGTCATACTCCATCTTTTGTTGTTTTTTCTAGATCATATCTAGGACCCTTGCAGACATGCCAGTTTGACAGTATCACACAGATTCAGGTAAAGGTGTTGTGATAACTGCCTAAATCATTGCTTTCTTCTATTTTACATTAATTTCCTTTTTGTTGTTGTTGTTGTAATAAAGCACAAAAACCTGGTAATTATATTAACTGACACAAACCAACTGAAGCAGAAACTCCAAGATGACATTTCTTTTTCAAACCAGTTTTTCTATTGTGCTTGGGTACTGCAGCATTAAATTATATGTTGCTACAATACCCGAAGACAGGAGAGAAGCAACAAATCTGCCTGCAATTACAGTCTGAACTGCTCCTTCATCTTCTTTTGTTTAGAAATATTTTAAATCTAAGCATACTTAGACCAACAGTTTTCAATTACACTCAGGAAAATAATGAATAAAATAGCCTATTAGAGCCAATGGTGTTACACTACACTGGTCAAAAAAGACCCTACCTTATAGCGAGATTCTGGAAAAATAGCAGATAATCTAGGAAAATCTGCTTAAAACTTGTGTGATATGTCCAAGAAGTAATTGATCCTGGGCAATCTTAGTAGAGATAATTACAAATGACATGAATGGTATGAAGGAGGGAGAAGCAGTTAGCTATGTTAGTCTGAAGGAGTTATCCTGAATCTCAGGCAGGTTAGCCAGTAGATCATTCCAAATAATTTTCTAGCTAACACGTCACATTTTAGAGCTGCTTATAAAGTGCTTAACAATGTGGTATCTAAACCCCAAGGCACACAGAGAAAGATGAAGAGCACATCTTTTGATTCTCCACACCAACATCCAATAGCACTGGACAGTTAATTGCTATTTACATCTTAAGACAGCCATACATCCAGTCGAACAATCAAAACAAACAAACTTTCCCCATGTGCAAAAAAGTTTAGTCAGCTGCCTGCCAACTGTAGGGCATTGTTTTCCATTTCATTGTTTCTTTTGTCTCCTTTCAAAGGGTATGAAAAAGTAATGATTGTGACCCCTTATAAAACAGAGGAAGCGTTGCATTTTCTCTAACTTTGGCAAAGCAGAATGGCAGAGAAATGCAAATAGAAGAGACAGTGCTAGAGCTCCAAGCATTTCAAACAAAGTTAGTTATCATGACAAATAGCTAAAGAATAGCTATACTGATGCACGCCAAATAGAAAATATATGCTTCGGCTTTTGGTCACTCCAGACTAAATCCAGCCAACGCCTGCAATGGAATAAAAAGGTTTGAGAGCTGTTTTGTGATCTAGGTAAAAGCAAGCTGTTGATTTCACTGTAGCTCCAATGCCTTCACAGCATAGCTCCTAAAAGTGCTTGCAACACAAATGTCACTAACCAACAACTTTTCAATTATTTTCTTCTGAAAACACCAACAACGGAAGAAGCTATTAGAACTGGCCTAGCCAAAACACAACCAAGGCATGGATTCGTTCTGTTAGCAGAAAGAAAGTTTACCTGCAGGACAAAGTATGTCTCCAGTGATGTGAGGAAGAATGTCTTGCATTTGAAAGCTTGTTTGTCTCTCATCTACATATTTGGTCCAAAAACAGACATCACCCTAAGAAATTTGCTTCTCCAGGACTGCTAAGTTATTATCTCCAAGACAGCATGGAATTTGCTTTCAAAATCCTCCCAGTAATTAGTGCTTGTTCAGTGCTGCACATCATCAGCAGCAATAATGGAAAAGATGGGGTGAGCCAGTGGGGGCCAACCTTTTTGGCAGGTGTGCCAAAATTAGCCCTGCACTCTTCCCAAGTGCCACTCTGATCCTTTTTTTCTGCTAGATCTGCTGTTGTGCATTTCCTACTCTGTGGCCGCATCTATGTGAGACACTGACTACGCAGTTGTTACTGTACAGTCATTTAGCATTTGTATAAATCAGTACTACATGACCATGCAGTAACAGTTACTGCGCAGCAGCGTTGCTGAATGGCTTTTCTGTGATGTTGACTGCACGGTACTTTGTTACTACTGTGCAGTAGCATCGCATCACACTTCCTGCCACACAATGCTACTACACAGTTGTAGCAAGCTATTGCGCACTCAGCATCTCATGTAGACATGGCCTGTGCTCCCTGCCCAATCTCCTGCTCTGCCTTCAGCCCTATCAACTGCTGTGGGGCCTATCCCTTCTGTATTCTGTTGCATGCCACATATAGAGGCTGCCTGTACCACTTGAAACATGTGTGACACCCCTGAGACAGGCAATCAACAGATCTTAAAAAGGAATTAAAGGCAAATGCATTACTTTGCATTCATGTACTGCAACAGCACTTTATTGCAGCAAGCTCTATATAATATTTTGTTCATTTCAAGCTACTTTAGCAATCTCATTTATCTTGTCATCAACAGCCTGCCCTACCTACTCAAACCTATTTTCTAATAGGTCCCTTCCAATGCTAAAATCTATGAAGGGTGAAACTGCCGTAAGAGATTCTCCCCATAGTAACTAAATATCTGTCAGATACTCGCATCACCCTTAACTACTGTGCCTGCAAAATATTCAAAACTAGCTTTTCTATATTTTTTTTCCTTAAACAACAAAAAGGATAAGAGAGAGAGAGAGAGAGAGAAAGAACTATATTTCCCACAGTTATTGAAAGAAACAGTTATTTTTGCTGGCTATGTCTTTAATAGCTTCTAAAATACTTCTAAGTTTTATGACCAACTACTTCCACAGAAGTGTGTATTTTTAACTTGGGCAAGCACTGCCCCCTTCTCAATATGGAAAAAGGAGTCCTCTCACCTTGCCAGTTTTTTCAGTTCACAGTTAATATCATGGTTAAAGGGCTGCTCTTTTTGAGCTTTAATCAAGAAATCACGAGCTTTTTCATACGCCGACATAGAAAGACAAGCCTGTCATTGAAAGAAGGACAAGAATTAATAGATAGATATATATTCTCATCATTTCTTCAAGACTGAAGCATGTATTCCCATAAACAAGTGGCTGATCCAGATAATTGTTTCAGACTGCAAGAAGAGCAGCACAACATATTTGGAGACCCAGATTTTGGTTTTGTGAGCACTTGGCACACATGCAATGACTACTACAGTAGCCATGGACACATGGTACATTTGAAGTCTGCTACCATGTTCAGATTTCTAAACACTTCATTTCAGAATATCCAAGGTGTCCTCCACAGACATATGAAGTGGGATGTCAGCTTGAAGTTGAAATTGCCTTTAAACCCAACAGAGAAATTAATTTTTCCTTCACCTGACCACATCTAAATAGTGCTTTAGCATTTCTCTCATCAATCTCCAAGGCCTTTTCTCCATACATCAGAGCTCGGGCAGGATGTTCCAGCTTTAGGTAAGTAAATGAAAGATTCAGGAACACCAGCAGCTTTGCAGCATCAATCTGGCTCCGCTCACCCTTACTGGGTGGCCTGCGACACAGAATCAAGGATGCCTGAGCAAACATGGGAATAAGACCAATGGAAGTGATTCTTAGTGGATCCTTCTACTTGTGGAAAACAGTTTCATCCCACCCATGATCGAAATGAACACATTGCAATATTCTACTGATGGACATAATCACAATAAAAAGCAAAATATACAACAAAGCATTCGCAAGAAGCATGGTAACATGACCACTCAGCATGGTCATTTGCTTTGGCGGTACCACATATGGTCAAACTCATTTGGTCACGTGGGTTGCAGTTGTGTGGGACTGGTTGATGGGCTGGATCAGGCCCACAGACCTTCCTGGTCCCCACCAGCCTGCCTGCTGGATCCAGTGCCTACTCCAGGACTCGCACCACCCATGGTGCCTGCTCCAACTGGTTTGCGACTTGCACTGCACATATGCCAAAACAGGTGCTGCATGCAATGTAGGTCCTGGAGCAGGTGCCTCATTCAAGACAGATCCCAGATGGTTTGGAGCAGACACAGCAGGTGGCACATGTCCTAGGTCCTGCACATGGGGCTAGTATGTTGGTGTGGGTCAACCCAAAACTAGGGCAGCACAAGGGGCTAGATAACAGAGCTCTGTGAGCTATATCCAGTTTACACGCCATATCTTTGACAACCAGACAGAGCCAAATCTTCAGTGAGCTCAAAAGGGATGCAGATACACTTGGGCCTTGACCCTGGGTTTGCTTTTATGGTTCCTACATCACCATGGATGCTATACAGAGCATTTTCTTTCTTTTCTTTTTTTTTAAATACATACATTTCAAAGGAAGAGTAGATAAATTTTACAAGTACGAGGGGAAAAGAAAACTCAAAGGAAGATGTGTTAAATATGTCTTTGTAGAACCAAGCAGTTGCAGTAGAAAAAGCATATTCAAACAGGAGAAGTATTCCTGTGAGACATGCAAACTGGCCCTTAATAAAACTAAAAGTGTGGAATGTATCTTGTGACATTAGAAACAAAAAGGGTGAAGTTTCCCACTGAATAGTGCTGGGGTGACATTTCCTACTAGGAGAATAGAAATTTAATTGCGACTTGACGTGCAAATAATTCAGAAGGACTGGACCTTTAATGAGTCTGGGATCTTAGGCTGCTTTTGAAAAACATCTCTCTGGAACACCTTCACTACATAGTGCCATTCTGTATGACTTGCTACTCCTCCTGTTGTCAGTTGTGCTGAAAGATCCCAGCTAGATGATTACTAATTTAAACAAAAGTACTCAAGCTGTGCAGACCCATTTTTAGATCAATTACACAGAATGGTGTATTTGAAGTACACCAAGTCTCTCTGTACACTGTTTTGCCTATGCTTACTGGGGCCAGTAGTGTTGAAACACAGAGAAAAAGGGTTCCACATACAAGCACTAGCCTTTTCCCCCTCTGCTACAGCAACTTAATTACCATTATGAAAAATAGTAAGACAACTTAAGAAAGCCTAATAAAATCAAACATATTGGTTTTAATTAATCTTCTAGGTATCTCTTCTTTAAGCTACAGTATAAGAATAGTTGATATTTTGAACTAGTGCTCAGTAATCACTAACTTCCATAGCCTGCACACACAACCGCAATCATCCTGTTTAAATTACCCTTTTATATCTATCTTTGGCATCCATGAAGTGCTTCTGACGGAAAAGGTAATTCCCAAACTGTCTCTCCGTATCTGCCACTTTCAACACTTTTTGTAATGGGATAGTATCTTGTTGGCCCTGTACACAGAAACAAAAAACTAATCAATTTAAACAAGAGAAATCAGACACAGAATGCAGACTGATAGTAAGCATCTACAAACTTACCACAAAGTGAGCAGGCATCAGAAGCAACTCTCACACAAAATTAACATAACAGCACCATCACAAACACCACGAATTTTAATGCTAAGAACTTCTGTAGGAAATTAAACCAACAAATGAATTAATGGCATTCAGGACTGTTAGCTGAGAAGCAACAGTGGCGGCAGTGAAAAAGCCTTCAACGCTGAACAAGTGGTTATGAGAGTTTCTGTTATGAGCCATGTTATAAGGGTCCTGCTGCATGGGACACTTGGTACATTTTAAATCTGTGTGGTAAGGTTAGAATGTGTTCTGACTGTCGCACAGTAACACTGACTACAGTCCCTAAAACTGTTGCCCACCCTCCTGGAGGATCACAGGGCTGGAACCAATAATCAATTGATTATCAGTCCCAGTCCCAGCACAACACCAGACTCTTGAATCATCTTAGGTGCAGTGCCCTGGTTGGGACTAACAATCAGCTGATTGTCAATCACAGTTCTGTAAATCTGGGGCAGTGGCCACCTAGATTTCAACTTGATCCTGATAAGTGAAAGATCCAGGATCCTTCCTCTTGACACGAGGATTTCCTTGTCCCACCTGGAGGACACGTGTTACAGCTTGGACGCACAGCACTCGCATTTTAAGTGCATTTAACCATGCTGAGCCTCAGATGTAACATGGCTCTTACCGTTGTATGTAAATATTTAAGAGTCTGGCTCCCCCTAGTGAAAGTTAAGCATTTATGGTAGGGTTATAAATAACAAAATGCTTGCAATTGATTTGCCAGATTTTAAAAACTGGATTATACTCTTCTTATTGTTATCATAATTCAAACAAGTATGCAGGCCAAGTCTTTGAAAACTTCCACTGCCATTTGCTTTAAAGAAAACAAACAGTTGGGGAAAGCATTAATGTGTACTTCCAGATTTTCTTGAAACAGGATGAAAAAAAAAAAGAGAGGAAAGTTTTAACAGCAGAATTCTGACAGCTTTAGGACCAAATCTTGAATGGATGGAGATGGGTCTCCATCATCAAGTCTACCTTCATCGACTTCCCTGTACTGGAACATAATTTTTATTTTTTAGGTAACATTGAACACAAGATAATGCTTAATATTCTTCGCTAATTTGAGGGCCCAGAACATGGAAGGTAGGTAGGTAGGTAGGTATGGAACACTTTAGGAAGGTAAGTATGGACCACTTTGTCTCCCTGTTCTGTGAAAGGAAGTGGGAGCAAACCTGCACAAGAAGCAATGACACATGTTTGTATTTAAGTTTATCTATACTGTTATTGTAAATATGCTGGCAGGAATGAGGACCTGGTGAATATGCCACACAAAACATTCGAAACAGCTTGCAGTTAATAGTGCCCAATACTACACCATACTCTACTGGAAGGGGATCCATCTCCAGGGGTGGCTGTGGCACCCCCTGGTAGTCACACCACACCTAGCGTCCAACTTTAGTTCACCAGGTTGGCTTTGCCCTCTCACATGCCATGCCTCGATGTTTTAATTATATTATTGTAAAGAGGCTGCCTTCAGAGAACCTGAGTTCAGCCTTTATGGTGACTTGTTCCACCCTAGTCATCATCAGGCTGCTAGTCTGCCCAATCCCCACAGACAGAGCTCAGGCTAGGGTCTCTCTGCCTTCTTGCTGAGCTCCTGACCCTATCTTGCTTACATTGGCCTTTGGCCCTGTTTTGCGGTCTTCTGTGCTTCAGTCCATTCTGGACAATGGTCCTTCATAGCCCACTGGGTTTCCTACACTTGCAGGGCTGTATTTGGGCTCCCAGGCTTTAGAGTTCCAGCAGCCCATTGAATCCCAGACCCTTGCAGGGCTTTACCTGGGCTTTATCCATACCACAGAATGCCTTCCGGGCACCTGACCCAGGACCTCCTCCTCCCCTTTAATCCACTCCAAACCTGGTGGTTAACAACTCAAAACAGAAACAAAATGTGTATAGAAAGAGAAATAAGTTACAGCTCCCAGCAGAGCTCCAGCACTCAAGGGGTTCTGAGCCAGACTGAGACTCCAGGCTTATATGGACCTTGATTCCTCCCCCTTCCGGTCACTTAACCTAAATGCTGCCTATTATGCAAATCAGCAACAGAGCTCTCACTCCCCTCAAACAGCTGCTCACAACCCTGCAGCTCCACTTCCTGCATGCTGCATTCCCCAGCCTGCCTTCTGCAATACTACCTTTTCTTCATTCCAGTAGCAGGGGCAGAGAGGTCCCCTGCTATACCTATCACTACAAAATGTGATGAGAAGAGAGAGACATTTTAACATTCTGTATTTATAGCTCAAGCCTGCTTTATATGTATGTATTGGTCAACTCACAGCAGTCAGAGCAAAGAATGTGTCAGATTCAGCTGAATCAAGGAAGTCCAACAATTCTATCTCAAACAAGACTGTGGCATTAGGAGGAATCAATGGAAGACAGCCCAGAGCCCCATAGGCATAATGTGGCATGAAGAGGAATCTCGCCAACTCTCCTTTCTTCATGGTCAGCAGACCAATCTCCATGCCCCACAGCGTAATCCCTGGGGAGACAAAAGGTAGAACTTTTAACATGAATTCTGAAAACAATTTGAATTACTGATTGCTCTTAGAACCTTTTAGGCAAGTGTTAGCTTTTCCACATATCAAGAGTTTGACTGCCAATTCATTTACACAAAGCATAGCACAATAAGCGCCCCAAAGAATGAAAATTATCTGTCACAGTACACTGTAGCTTGACAGACCCCAGGATTGAGTCTCATTAGAGGTGCGCTGATACATCGGTCCCATATCAGACTGGCACTGATATGAGGAAAATTGAGAGCATCAGCAATTGACGTTTTTTGGCTGATGTGGCCGATAATGTGGCCAATAAATGCCATGGGCATGTGCGCAGCCCCAGTGCAGCATGCAGGCAGTCAGGAGAGCAGCGCTGCAGCGTGAAAAGCAGCTGGGTCTGGCTGGTAAGTCTGTTGTGGGGGAAGGGGCATGCAGGGGAGGGGCAGATCGAGGCACCTCGCAGTGAGGAAGGGAGTGGGGCTGGTCCTTGGGCAGGCGTTGCCCAGCGGGGGGGGCCACGATGACAGAGCTGCGGCTCATCCCCCCCGCCATGCGGTACACATATTAAAAAGGGGGCCGCTGGGGGTACACTTATTAAAAAGGGTTGAAAGCCCCTGCCATAGACGTATTCTTAATGATTTCTAATCTGTCCTGAAAAAGGATGACTGCCTCAAAGTAGCCATGGGGGGAAAAAAAACTGGTCCTGGCTTACAGGTAGCTCCCCAACTTCAAATGGCATCTCTCAAGAACCAGGCTAGCTAACTCCCAGTGTCACCAAGACATCAGGCCTTGCAATAGACCTAGATGCCTTCTGTGCCCCAACATCAATATAGACTATATCATCACTATCATCCAAATAACATGGATTATAACATCTGAGGTTCATTCACTTGTAACTCCATAAATGTCACATACATGGAGATGTCATCACCTGCTTACAGTGCCCCTCTTCTGTCTACATTGGACAGATGGAGCAATCCCTATGTGACAGAAAAAACAAACACTGTTCTGAAATCAGGTGCAGAAAGACTTGCAAGCTGATGACCTAACGGTGGCTGTTCTCAGACAGCAAACTTTTAAAAACCGACATAAATGGAATATTGTGGAACAAGAAATCATTCACAACTTGGATTGCATTACAAATAGTTTAAACAGGGACTAGGGATTCTTATCCCATTACCTGGCATAGCTTTGCTGACTCCTTAGTTCCTATGAGTTCACTACTTGCTTACTGCTCTCCCAGCACCACTCTCTTCCCTTCCCTTTTCTCTCTTCCTCTACCACTGTCTTGTCTTTTGTGCTCTAACTTCTCTTTTTTTATACTCTGCTTTGTGCATGTCCTTTCATAGATCTGATGAAGTGAGCTTCAGCTCACAAAAGCTTGTGCTATATACGTATACTTTGGTTAATCAAGAAGATGCAAATCTACTTTGCCTGCTAGCTTGTAACATCACAACTACCAAGGCTAACTTTTAAAGTTATATGCTATTATATATATTAAAAAAAAAAAAAAAAAATCACAAAGGAGTGATTCTCTCAATGGCACCATGGGGTACCACAGGGTGCTACTCAATAGTAGCATTTTTAGGTATGCAAACCTAACTAGATAAGCCCAAAGGACTTCAAACAGGAATTCATAGCATTAAAAACATTCTATGGTCAGAGTTGCTTACAACAGAAAAATTGTTCTGTAAGTTTTTGCTTTTTTCTTGACAACAGAAAAATAAGAGCTGGCATTTCCCAACAGGTGCCTTGAGTTTAAGGTTGAGAACCACAGGCATAAAACTTGTTAGTCTGTTTAAATACAGCCAAAACTAAAAAAGCAAAGGAAAGGGAAATTATGACTCCTGTGATAGTTCTTCAGCTTGGACTTACCTTTTCCAAGTTTCATCAGTCTAGAAGACCTCCTGTAGCAGTTTGTCTCAAAGGGCTTATCCATGTATTCCAGATACCCAGAATATTTAACTGCAAGAGTTCCAATACAAAAGGAACAAGGGGGGGGCATACAGAAGAACTTAGGTTATCAAGCAGTAAAAGCAATAAATCACTTAAGAATACAACTGCTAACCATAAGTGCATACGCTTGTTTTTACTATACCGCGAGTAAGAAATACTCATCTGGCCTTGTGAGCAGGATGAGTGTCATGGGGCCAGATCAGACCCACAGACTAGTCCCTGATGTGGATCCATAACATGCCCTGGAGTAGAAACAGGAGGTGTTGCATGTGGCACATGTCCCAGACCAGCTACACACACTGCCCCTTCCAGCATGTCTGTTCCAGTCACCACATGCAGCGTGTGGCCTCAGACTGGCTACTCTATGACCATGTTGCACATGGCATCAACTCTGGCTACCCTGAGACTATACCAGTGTGCAACGTCCACTCCAATGTGCATCTGCTCCATGCTGGATCCCCTGTATGTCCTAAAGTGGGTGCCACATGCAGCACATGCCCCTGAACAGCTGGCTGGGGACCATGCCACACACAGCACCTGCTCCAACCATTCTAGGACCCTGCTGCATGTGCTGCCTGCTCTGACTGCTCCAGGATGTGCAATGGACCAGGCACAGAGCAGATGTATGCTGAAGTGGGTAGCACATGCACAGTCTCAGAGCAACCCGACAGGGTGCTTCATGTGAATCCCAGGGCCATCCAGTACACCTTGTATGCTGCCTGTGGCCCACTTGAGATCCACATGCAGCACAAGAGTATGGATGAAAGGGCTCCATGGACTGGATTAATATAAAATGCTGTGTTTTTGAGCCTTGTTACACCTTACACTGTAATCTGAACAAAAGTTAATTGGCTCAGTGTTGTACAGCTTAGCAGAGCAGTCGTACCTTAAGGCGAAAAACCATCTCTGGCTGTCCTTCACCTGCACAGTTGTGACTTTCCAATGGTGAGCAGGTCAGGACTAGGAGACTGGGGCAGGACTGGCTCGCTGCTTGAGCTCCGAGGGGCCTGATCCTTTTTTCTCTCCAGAGCCTGCACCTGGGGGTTGCCCCTGCCTGGGCTGCTGGCAGGCTGGGCACTGCCTGAGCTCCAAACAAGGACTGGGCCCCATGAAGCTCAGGCAGCACCCAGCTGGCCAGCAGCCAAGCCAGAGGCTGGGGGGGATGCAAACTCTGGGGGGGAAGGATCCGGCCCCCAGGACCCAGTGGGGCCAGACAGCTAGAGCAAGGTGTTCAGCAGCTGCAGCTTGGCAGCCAAAGGCTGGTTCCCGCCAACCTTGCATTTTGTTGGGCTGTGCAGGGTCTGGCCACCAGTTCCCCCTGGCTTGCCCAGCAGCAGACACAGTTGGCAGGTGAATGAAGCCCCTAAACCCCTGGTAGCAGCCAGGCAGCTCTGAACATGAAGCATGCAACCTGGCACTGCTGGTCTAGGCTGGGGCTGCAATGAGAAAGCGGGGAGGCTGTGCCTTTCACAGCTGCCTCCCAAGCAGAATAGAGGCAGGAAATCCATTCCCTGTATTCCCCCCACCCATTCCCCAACAAGGGGTTCAAGGGCTAATGCCAGGTAAGCCAGGCAGCAAGAGCTGGTGGACAGATCCTGAACAGCCTGGCAGAGCATGGGGCCAGCAGGAACCAGCCTTGGGCTGCCAAGCTGCAGCCACCAAGCTCTGCCCTGCTGCAGCTGCCTGGCTTTGGTAGGGTGTGTGGCTGAACATCCCCCACCCAGTGCCTGTGCCTGCCTTTGATGAACCCATGCTGATTGCCCCTGAGCATGATCTCCCCTGCAGGCCCCCCACAGATGTGCTCCTTGATGATTCTCTCCAAGATCTTCCCATGCACCGAGGTGAGGCTTACAGGCCTATAAGTACTTGGGTTCTCCTTCCTCCCCTTCTTAAAAATAGGGACCACATTAGCCAGTTTCCAATCCCCTGGCACCTGGCCAGATGACCACGAATGCTCATACAGCTGGGCCAAAGGCTCCGCGATGACCCCTGCCAGCTCCCTCAACACCCTTGGGTGGAGGGCATCTGGACCTGCAGATTTAAAAATGTCTAGCCCTTCCAGAAGACCCCTAACTACATCTGCACTGACTGAAGGCTTGATAGAGCTATCCCCAAGATTGTCCCTACCTCTGGTAGGTGGGATATCCCAGTCCCTGTTCAGGAAAACAGAGGCAAAGAAACTGTTAAAAATATCAGCTTTCTTGTCTGGCGTGGCCACCAGATTACCGTTTGTGTCCTGCAGGGGCCCTACATTGCCTGGCGCCCTCTTCTTGCTCCCAATGTACTTGGAAAAAGGACTTTTTGTTGTCCTTAATCCTGGATGCTAGCCTGAGTTCCATCTCTGCCTTGGCCTTCCTAATAGCCCTCCTACACTCCCGGGCCGAGGAGGAGTACTCCTCCTTGGTGATAGCTCCTCCCTTCCACTGCACCTGGTTTTTACCTCATGCTTAATCGCAGTACCAACCCCTTTAAAAATTTTACAAAATTATACTATGCTGAAGAATGTAGAGAAGAAAAGTACATATCAGAATATATATAAGTGGGGGACTATTGTAAAAGAGAAGAATAGAGACATGTTTTCCGTACGGGTTCAGGCAACAGCTAATGCTTCTGAATGTTTCCTAATAGTTAATTGTACTAATAATTGCTTCAAATTGAACCAAGGTAGAAGAATCCTTTGTAACAAGACCAATCAAATATCCTATGTATACAATGTTCACCTGTCGTCTTATCTATCTTCAGACCTAAGGTGAATCAAATGATTTTACAAACGAAGAAAGCTGAGAATACTAGGTTTGTGTTGAAACAAATTGAGTGGAGCAATTATAATAAAAATAATTAAAAATGCTCCAGAGGGGGAAAATGTTAGGTTTGACCTAGAAACCACTACGCATAGCCCAAGCAAAAGTCTCTGTTCTGTAACTAATGCTCAATTGCAATGATAAGGAGAAGACAGTCTTAGATAAAGGAGGCTTGAAAACAAAAACAGAATTAGTGGACTAGGGCAAAGAGCTGATTTAAATATTAAGATTCACACCCCTAGGTGGGGAGAAAGTATGCTAATGAAACATACATGTATGGAAATGAGATACATAGCTAAAACACAGGTATAGAGACATGCTCAGTAAAGAACTCCTTGCGTCACTCCCTTATAACCAATTAGCAAACAAGAATGCTTATGAAGGTCCAATACTCCTGTATAAGATGCTTAGAATTAAGAATCTGTGTGCTTGTTACGTGAAATTATTCCGCTTGCACCTTGTATTGCTAGCAATAAATCTTTATACTGTCACCCCTGGTATCTTTATTGGCTTTTGCATACCGGGCACGATCCCAGACTTGAGCTGGGGCTCAACACCCTCACCAGGTCATCCCCCATGGCCAGGACCAGGTCCAGCAAGGCATTACCCCTAGTGGGGCTGTGCACTTCCTGGATAAGGTGAAGGTCCTGCAATACAGCCAGGAACCTACGCGAGCGGTCAGACCTGGCTGTCTGCTCCTCCCAGCAAATGTCTGGGTAGTTTAGGTCACCCATGACAATAACATCCCTTGACCTAACCGCCTCCATAAGCTGACTGGAGAAGTCCTGGTCTAGCTCCTCCCCCTGGTTGGGTGGTCTGTAGTAGACACCCACCGTAAGGTCCCTTTCACCACGCCCCGCTTCATTTCACAAAGGTTACAGCATCGCCAGATTGAACCATCTTTCAGATAATACAAGCTGAGCTTGACCTAAAAGCAAAACTGTTTCCCTATGTACATGGGTTTTGTGTTTGTTCCCCTCCACACAGCATCATAGCACCAGGAATAAAATCTGTGTTAATACACACACACTCTGCTGGTTGGCAAGATCTGAAGCAGAACAAAGCTAGGATACTGGTACATTAATGATTTAGGAGAACGAGAAATTGCTGTATTTTCTGACATATAACCCACACCTTTTCCCTCAAAACCAGTTGGTGAAAATTGGGATGCTTATAATAAGAAAAACAGATCCCCATGGGTCTGGAAATCTGGCAGTGGGGGATCAGTGGCACCATTAATTGTCACAGCAAGTAAGGCCATCACTCCCCTGCTACCAAATTTCCAGACCCAAGTGGAGCCCCCCAGCTGGATAACACAGCCCTATGTGCCAGACTGGGGTTAGGCCCAGGTCACAACCCCTACCCCACTGCACCAAGGTTAGCAGGCATGCTAAGTCCCATGTGGCATGTACAGCTGGCACCAGCCTCAACCCCCTAGATCAGAGCTTTCCAAACTTTTCATGTTGGTGACACACTTTTTAGACATGCATCATTTCGCGACACAGTAATTCAGTTCTGGGGGAGGGGCCAAGGGAAGCAGACGCAAGTAAGGGAGCTCCGCGGTGCCCTTCCGCAAAATTTTCTGCATTTCGCGCGACACACCTACACACTGCCACCGACACACTAATGTGTCACGGCACACAGTTTAGAAAGCTCTGCCCTAGATGCTGCTACTCAGATGCTTACTGTGGCAGTCGGGTGGCAAGGCAGACCGAGGCTATGGGGTCAGTAGCCTAGAACGGCAGGCGGGCATCTGAGTTACTGTAAGCTAAATATCTAATCGGATCTCGAGTAGCTTACTCACTCGCATCATCCAGAGGTGGTTGGAGTTTCCTCTGGAGGCAGGTCACTCTTGGAGCATGCGGTGATGAAGAGAGCGCCAGTTTCAGATTCACCTGGAAGACCGCATGGCTAATCGCTGCCTTCTTCCTGGTCCAGACCTTTAAATAACCTCTCTGACCTCAGCAGCCCAGACCAATCGAAGCTGCCAATACTGGCCACAAGCCGACCAATCTACCAAGCATCCCTGGCTACCTGGGCCCACGCGCAGGGCCGGGCTTTCCCCCCCCGCCCAGGTGTCCAGAGCATTCAGGCACCAGGCTTTTGTCATGTAGACAAGGTGGGAGATCCCCGTCCTGAGGGATTCAACACCAGCCTCTCAGGCTGGCAGAGACGGGGCTCTGGAGAGGGGCACCGACGGTGGCATTTCTGCCACAACATCCTGCTTACACACTAGGGAGGGACATGAAATAACATTCGGCCTAACCTGGCCAGCTCTTTTTTCCAGGTTTGCCATTCCACTGAAGAGCCAGGCGCCCCACGGGCCCGCACAGATTGCACAACCGCTCTGACTGTAAGAGCGGATGATTGGCGGGAACTTTTTCTAAGCTTGTAATTTTCCATGACCTAGTGACCTAGCTTACAGTCACTGGGCTCTGGTACAGCGGAATTTTCCCCCTGTGACCTACTTTAGCTGTGACCTCTATATCACCCCAATGGAACTCTCCACTGTGGCACAGGCATACAGGCCAAATGGGATCTTTCACTGCACCAGGACTATACTAAACTAGTGAGTGAGGGGATGGAATATACCAAATGCAACAGTTACCACAGTTGCTAGGCAGACTCTATTGTGTCAGGGACACTCACTTAATTTGGGTTATGACATGCCCCCTTGGCCATGACACAATAGATTAAGCACTTAAATTATGAGCTCGTCGCCTTTACAAGGGTTAGGTGGCAAATGGGTATATACATAAATGGATAACTTTATAAACCGATTCGTAATAAACTGTAAAATACAACAACTCAAACATATAACAACGACAATTGGTAACAAATATATTTAATAGTCACGACATGCCCCCCTTGTTCAAAGTGTCACAGATCTGTAGGTATATTAAATTGTCATCTCGGCTATAAACTCGTTGGGTTCAGGAAGATTTGATAACCGGGTACAAACGTAAGCAATAACTAAGGCAATCATTATAAGGTTAATCAATGAAATTATGCCCGTAACAAAAAGTCCAATTGCAAGAATCTCGATGGGCGACCTGGTGATGTCACTCGCCGAGGCTCGTGGTGGTGCTCTTTCTCCATCGAGGGTCCGGGCAGCGTCCGTCAGGTTATTCGGGTTGACGATGTACCACGAACTTGACCCGTGTACCATAACAGAGACCACTAGGATGACCCAGATGTGTTTCATGCCAGCGGACCTGTTACGGCTCCCTTGTCGATCAACAACTGAAAGAAAACATAAACAACAACAAGCAGTAACTAGGGTCATAACTGGGTTAAAGTTCAACAGGTTAGCTAATTTTGATGGGCAAGGTCTGCCACTGCTGGTGTTCGGTTAGGGTTCTGCTTGAATGGTTCTTCTCCGATTTGATGTTCCTCTTCCTTTGGCGCAGGTTTCTTGTCAACGTCAATACTGTTTTCTGTCCATTTACGACATCCTTTACACCTTATTTTTTCTGTCCAAAATTCCCTTCCTTTCCTTCTATCTTTTACTTTTACTTCCCTTTTGTGCACAGGTCCCTATAGAACCTGATCACCTTTCTTTCTTTGTCTTTACTACTTGCCCCCTTCCATCATCATCTTCATCTCTTTCCTCACTTTCCTTTCTTTTGTAAAATATACACCCTTGTTGGTATAGACTCGTGGCGCCATACATTCTTAGGATGTTGGTTCGAGCGCTCTTTGATGGTTAATTAATTTGAGTAACTAAAGACCTTGCGTCGTATTGTTGGGTTAACAGAATTATATACAATGGGACTGGTATACAGGCGAAGATCTGTGGTCCGAGCTCAGAGTTGTCATCGTTGATCCGTCCGGTGGCAGTTATTCATCCCCTGGTTTGTTTTTTTTTCCTAGGGACGAATCCTAATTCTTGTGCTAGTTGTTGTTGTCCTTCATCCCCTAGGGCGCGCAACTGTCGCTTGGTAAGTTTGGTGCGATACAGGAGAAAACCAAACATTGCTTTCTCTTCTGGCGTCCTCTGGGGTAATTCTTTCCCTTCTCTTCGTGGGGTAAACTGATGATGTTCTTGCCCTTGATATCCGACCAGGTAAGCGGCTGTTGGACTTGTTACTGTATCTTGAGGCCGACACAGCTCTCCGCTTACTGCCCCCTCCCCGTAACTAAGAGGCGGGGCTGGTTCATAGCCTCTGACCTCGTGGCGGCCTTCTCCTGCCAGCTGTCCCGGGCACCGGTCGCTCTTCCCCGTCCCTACAAAGTAACTCGGGAGATGTCTCCAGGAACTTGCCCCCTCCCTGTAACTAGGAGGCGGGGCTGCTGGGACCGACGTCACCTCAAGGGGCGAGTTTGCTGGGTGAAGTCCCGCCTTCTCCTCCGTGACTCCGCCCTTCTTTTCCAGGGGATCCGAGCGGCTCACTTTTCTTTCGGCGCCATTTTCTGGTGGTGGTGATAGGCCTTTTCGCGCCACTATTTCTGTGGCGGCCCTGCTGACTTCTGTTAACTGGGCTTCCAGGTTAGCGACTGGGGCGCTAGAGCCGGGAAGTCGAACTTATCGGGGTTTGTTCCTTCCCCATTCTCGCGCACACACCGAGTACAGCGGGCAAACTCCTGGGCAAGGTGTGGATCCCTCGCGCCCTCCGCCTTCACTCGTGATAGAGACAGCGTTCCCATCTCGTCCCACGGCATGCACACCACTCGTCCTCCGCTCAGTACACACCCAAAAGAGCATGGACCCAGCTGGGCGGCCCACTCTTTTCTGGCTCCCGTCTCTCCCCAGATAGAAAAGTAGCCGGCAACCTCATTTTTACTCCTTCCCCCTGCCTGATGGTAGGCAATACAGGCCCACAGTTCATCCGAGTTGGATGTCCGGCGCTCCCCACTGCACCATGGGCAGTATTTCACTAGTTCCAACTCCAAGGTGTTTTCCCCAGATCCTGTTCGTGACGCCATGTGGCAGTTGGGTGGCAAGGCAGACCGAGGCTATGGGGTCAGTAGCCTAGAACGGCAGGCAGGTACTGGTGACACCGGAGAGGAACTAGGCACATGATGCGTAACGGTTGAAAAAGATTTCTTTACTTACGCTGACGGTGATGATTACAGTGTAGGTCAATGGAACTGGGCTTGAGTTACAGTTACAACGGGAAAAAAACCACGACGAGTTGCAAAGAAATGCGACAAGAGACGATGCAACAAGATACGAACGACGGTCGTAAACGGCTTTTTGATGTGGCCGTGGGGCGGGAAAACGCGTCAAATTGGGTATCGGCGACGGGAGTACCCTCCGAGAAACACCCGGAATATCTCCTCTGAGAAAAACTGTGCAGAGTAGCTCTTTGAGAGAAAACTATGAGTGGCTCTTTCCTTAGAGAAAACCGCAGGGTACCTCCTCGTGGGCGGAAACTAACTTTGGTTTCCCGGCCATTTAAAAGCTATCACAACTTGTCAAATATGAATAATTTGGAAGTGGCCAATAGTGGTGTGCGCATCTGCATATGATTGGCGGGAACTTTTTCTAAGCTTGTAATTTTCCATGACCTAGTGACCTAGCTTACAGTCACTGGGCTCTGGTACAGCGGAATTTTCCCCCTGTGACCTACTTTAGCTGTGACCTCTGTATCACCCCAATGGAACTCTCCACTGTGGCACAGGCATACAGGCCAAATGGGATCTTTCACTGCACCAGGACTATACTAAACTAGTGAGTGAGGAGATGGAATATACCAAACGCAACAGTTACCACAGTTACTAGGCAGACTCTATTGTGTCAGGGACACTCACTTAATTTGGGTTATGACACTTACCAAAAGCAAGATCTTTTTTCCTTCATGATACCTTTTTTCAAAAACAGGGCGTTCTTCATATTCAAAGGGCAGGATAAGCAAGAAAAGTGTTAGTAAACTCTACAGGCTATGAGAGCTCTGAGGGCTGCTACCAGTCAGGTAGCATTTAAATATCCAAGTTCAATCCAGGGTACCTTTTGAGAAAGTTCATATACATGGTACTTTGACAAGCCGTAAGTAAGATTTAAGGTGTCCATCCTACACCAATATGCACAAGAGCAGATTTTACTGCAGAACCTGGGGGTTCAGGTCGCCTGACTGAAACCCACAGCTTGCACAAAACAAACAAAACTTTGTTTTTCTTTTTCTAATTCTCCTTAATCATGGTTATAACTCTTCAGGTCTGGGTTTGTTTTGTTTTTTGGTTTTTTTTTTTTTGGGGGGGGGGGGGGGAAGGTGTTTGGAAACACATTGGAATTTCCTGGCAGGTTATGGTTACACTGAATTCATATCCTTAAGCTTTAAGAGGCACAGAAGGGCAAGGGCTGAGAGCGGTCTGGCACAAAAGGAGAATGGACAAAACTTCTATTTACTCCTGCCTGGGGTGCAGAGAGGAGTGATCACCAAAGTCCAGAATACCAACGCAGAAACGATGCAACAGACAAGCAGTGACACGCCATGAAACTGGTCACTCTCCAAAGAGCATGATCACAGAATGAGACCTCCCACACGGAGACCTGTTTTACCTAAGACAGATGCATCGCGGGCGACCAGCTCTCCGGAGCCCACGTGGACAACCTCCTTTAGCACCCCGCCGTCACCGGTAATGTCCTGCATGCGCTGGCCCAGCTGCTGGAAACGAGACGAGGAAGGGTGGCAAGGGAAACAACCACTTCGAGCT